GGGTCGCGGTGCGCGGTTGGGCGTGCGCGGGGGGAGGGTGCGGGGGGGACGTGCGCCCTAGCTCCGGGACTCCGGCGCCAGCACAACGTAGCCCTGGGCGGCTCTCCAGCCTGGAGTCATATCTGGGCGATCTGGAGTGCAGCTCTGAGACCAGGGGGGCCCAAGGCCAGGGCAGGACGCGGAGATGTGGAGGACTGGGCCAGGGGCACCAGGGAGCGAGCGCTCAGTGCGTGATTTCCCAGCCAAGCCGCGACAAGCTCCATTGGGCTCTCGGCAGCCGGCGTGCGGGCAGGCGGGGTTGCGGGAGGGCGCACGGGGAGGGCACGTCTGGTTCGATGTCTGGTTCCCGTTGTTGTGTCTGGCTAATTCCCTGGAAATACGGAGGCTACCTGCTCTGGGACCGGGGACTTCGATCAGACAAGGTGAGAAAAAAAGAAGTCTCCTATCTTTACGCTTCTCCCCCGGACTTGGCCAGGTAAAACCAGAGTCACCTTGCACTCCCAGACAGCCGGAAAGAGCGGGTCAGAACCTAGCTCAGCAGCTTCTTGTCCCACCCGGTTTAAGACATCTTGAAGCCGAAACCGAGGCTCTGTCCCAGTTCCCGCGTGTCGCCGTTACCTGACCCCGCGAATTCGCCGTAGAGAGCCGGAGAAAGTGGGGGAGGCAAGAAAGAATGTCACCGGGGAAACGAACTTGCGCCCAAAGCGCAAGAGGTGGCGGACAAAGATCTGGGCGCATCGCCGCTGCCAGGCGCTCGGCGCTGGCGAGATGGCGTCCGAAAGCCGCGGGACAGTGCGGGCTAATCTTGGCAGATCTAAGACTCGTCAGAGGGGATCCCACCGGCCCTCGCCTCCACACCTGCTTTCGGGCCCAAGCCTCACCTAGAGCGCACTCTCGCAGGAACGCGGGAGAGGGGAGAACGCTGCTCGTGGGAAAGTAACAGGTTATTGCTCTCAGTTGCACCTTCGGCTGCATCTACCCAGCTGTCCTTTGGAGAGACAGGCGCTCGCAGCCTGGAAGCGGCAAGGGGAAAACGCTCTTGTCCTATTTCAGAGCGAAGCCCGGGCTCTGTGCGTCTTCTGGGCAAGGGTACGAAGCGCGCGGAGGACAGGGGTCCCTGCGCCGCGCATCAACAGAGAGCCGGGGCTGGGGCGGGCGAGAAGCTCAGCTCCAAGAGGTGGGTGGTGGGAGCCGGGTGTAGACAGACGAAAAGCAGTGCGCAGGCCGAGAGGACCCAGCGGAACAGCCGAGGCTGGGAGTGGGGAAGTCAAGCGGTCGAGCGCGTACCCACCTTGGTTTAGCTATCGCGAGCCGGACGCTCTCTCCGCTGGTCTGCGCAGCGTCCTGCGATCCGCCCGGCTCCGCTCCGCTCTGCCACAGGCGTATCCGCCCGGCGTCACCTCCAGCTGCTTCCTCGCTCTCGCCACCCCCGTCCGGCACGCGAGCGCCTGGAGGAGAGGAGCCAGATCCGGAGAGGCTGCTCCCGGCTCCAGGGGAGGGGGGCGGAGTAGGGAGGCGGGGACGCTCCGCGGGGGAATCACGAGGCCGCTGCTCGCGGGGGCAGCTCTTCGGCAGAGCGGCGGGGCTCCTTTGCAGGTGCCTGGACTCCTCTGGAGCTTTGTAGGACGATTATAAATCCAGATGACGGGTTTGCGCCCAGGGAAAAAATAAAATAAAAAAGGTCCTATGAGTAATCCAAAACGCACTCAGCACGCTTGTTTTTTTTGGGGGGGTGGTGTCGGTGAGAAGAGGGAAAAGATAATTCCTACGAAGTACTCTGCCTGGCTGAGCGTTTCTTTTTTCTTCCCCCTCCCCTATCCTGGGGGGAGACTAGAGCAGTGGCTTTACCTCATTCCCTTTCTCCTAGAGTCCCCCAGATCTGAGACCACCACACAAAGCTTCCCGGAGCGAAATCGCTCTGGGTGGCTTCCTCGCCGGCTCCCCAGTGAGCCAGGAATGCTGTAAAGGCGGAGGAGCCGAGAGGAGGGGTCTCCATCTATTCACTCCAGTTTCCTCTGGCAGCTGGAGGCGTCCCCAAAGCACCTCGTCGGAGCTCACACAGCTACCTGGTGCCCTCTACGGGAAAGGGCCCCCCTTTCCCATTCTCTACGCGCTCCCTCCCCCGGTGATAGGAAAAAAATTACTCCTGATTGATCATGTCTGAAGGTTAATAACACGCACGAGCGCCGCTCCACACGCATGGGAAACCCCAGCACAAGGGAGGTGCCCGGGCCCCTCTGCTCACACCCTGCCGATTTCACGCCCTTTAAAGATTCTTCCTTTGCAATATTTAAGCGCTTGATGAATTGCTGCGTTGGGTAAATCCTTTCCTGTAAAAAGCCATTGACGGAAAATCTCCCACCAGAGGGCGCCAAGCGCACAGAGACCGAGACTCCCAGCGCTCGCGGGTAGAGGGTCCCGCGCCCCAGCCAACACCCGGAGCGGCTGAGCAGTCTCCTTAACTTGCCTCCCTTCAAACCTTCCCTCAGCCACCGCCTTGTCTAGTTTCTGTCCCCTCCTTTCTTCTGTTACTTTAGGACAAAACAAACTTTATGTCGTGCCAGTCTGGGTGATGCCCAGTGATTGCTTTACTTATTTCCACAGTGATTTTTCCCCCACGGCGATGCAGGCGGTAGGGATTATTTATGTGCAAATCTGTGGCCTCACTGATATACCGGAGGCCTGTCCCTTTTCTATCTTATCTCTTTTCACCAAGACACAGTAGGAAATGCCAGAAATCTTGTAAATCACCGAAGAATCTATAAAGGAGATCCAAGATTCCACCCTGGGAAAATACAGTGCTAACAGCAAGAGGGATCTCCTGGACAGGTTTGAAGTCACAGAGCTGCTTTTGATACTAAAGAAAATACTGTCTCCTTTTTTCCACCTTACAGTAAAAGCCTGGGCACTTCTTAAGGCTACAAAAGCATCGAACCACAGGAGGTAGGGTAAGGGCAGCCTGGGAGTCAGAGCTGAGGGTGGGGCCCGGTGTGTGTGTGGAATGGCTAGGGGGTAACCAAACCGCGTAGGAAATGTTCCCCCAAACTTCGCACCCACTTCAAACGCGCAGTTTTACAAGAAGGGAATTCGTAATTTCATCCACGCCCCTCCTCCAGCCTTCCCTAAAGAGATGCTCGAACCAATCAGGGAGCTGGGTGTCAGAGCTAAGTCATTCATGACTATGGGCCAGGAGACCTGCGAGGAGGAGGTTACTGACCTTGGTGCCCCTAGATGTCCTCCCTCTTGGGTGCTGGCTTACTCTCTGTTCCCTCGCCCTTCTTCCAAAACCCGAGATTTCCTGAAAAGGAAGGTGCGTTTGCTTCACCTATGGCACTAGATTCAGAAATTTCCAAGCACTTCCTCTGTGCTCAACCTTAACGTTTTATCCAAGATTATAATCAGGTCAGAAAAATACTTCTCTGCAAGATTAGACAACCCAAATTAAAGCTAGCTCTATCCTGCTTCGAGGACATTTCTTTCTCTTTTGTGTTGAGGAAGGAAGGAGTGAAGCCTCCTTTTTTTTTTTTTGTACAGGGATAGAACTCAGGACCTTGCGCTTGCAAGGCAGGCGAGGGAACCACTGAACTAAATCTCCAGACCTCATCCTTAATTTTAAAATGTTTAATTAAATATTAGTAGCTAATTAACTGAACGGAAACTTAACAGATGAGCCACTGTGTGCCAGACATTGCTCTGCTGGAGCTTACATTGTCCCTTCAATTTATGTCATCCTTGTACTCGTGGAGTTGATTTTCCAGGGAGCCAGGGCGATTAGCAGATTAAAGGTTTCAGGACTTTAATTTCCAATTCCACTCCAGCTCGGACTCTCAAGGAGAAAGAAAGAATAGGGGTCCTGGAAATCCACTCAGTTTCACTGTGTCGAGTTTGAGGCAGAGCCTTGCTCTTTCAGCACCAGGGACAGCACCAGCAACCCCGACCCTCTCCAGTCCTTTCCCGGCTCCCTCCCTGGCAGTGCTGGGCCTCCCGGTGGGCTCGCCCGGGCCTTCCTCCCGCTTGGAGGTAAAGTCTGTATTTCTTTTGCCTGGTGGGAGGTGGAGTATTTTGCCCACTCCTCTCCTCCCATGGCAAGAATTTGTCCTGGGGGTGGCTGTGGTTGCTACTTGACGCTTCAGAACATTTAGAACTTATATTTTTATTTGTGTTTGTCACTTTTCTTTTAATCTTAATTCTCTCGGTGAAGGGGACATGCTGAGGTTGATGGGGGTGGAGCAACGATATCCTCTCCGGGTACTGGAACTGGAGGTGCAGGTTGGCCTGGAAGCGAGTGGTGCCTGTCCAGCTCTTTCTTAGCATCTGATCTAAGGTTTAGCTATTTGAAGAAATGGAAAAGGAAGAGGTTATGTTATGTTTCCCCTCCGGTACCCTCTGTTCTGGCATGGGGGTTTGTGAGACTTCGCCGGGGCAGCTCCCTTGCTGCCAAGATCAACATCCCCTTAGGATAACCAGGGCGGGACTTGAGAACACGGCCCTCTGACCATAATGGCCACTTTTCCCTGGATGTTTAAAGATGCTGCCTGCAGATTTATTTGGGGCCACTGCTTCACCCCAAAAGGAGCTGGGGTAGGTGGGGGTTGGGAGGAACTTGAGGCAGGGAGGCTGCCTCTTAGTGAGCTTCCGAAGGGGTCCCCCACTTAAAATGTGCTCCGTCAAGGTGAGTAGATAAGAAAAGTCAGTCTTTCTATTTTGACGCACTTCGCCTTTTTAGTCATCAGGAAGGGTAATTTGGAGCCACAGACAGTGTTGGTTCATTTTAGCTTGCTCTTTAAAGTCTATTTTAAGTATCTAACTGATGACCCCCCCCCGAAAAAGCAATGCTCACCGTTTAAAAGTCAGTTTCCGGAAAGTTTCCCGAAAGGAAGACTCGGGGAAGAGTTGCTTAATCTTATATTGGCTTTTCTTAAGTAGGAGCTAAGATCCATTTGGAAACTTTAAAGATAGTTTCCGAGTCGTGCTGGGCTTTCGTTGGAGGACCACCGCTGAATCCACACCACTATCCCGGCAGAACACAGAACCCTCCCCGCTGGGGACCCCAGGGCGAAGGGGTTAAAAGAGTGGTAGTGGGGGGGAAGGGAAGCCAAGTCCTAGCCGAACGCCCGAGAGCACTGGAAATTGCAATTATTTCTCTTGAAGAAGACTGCTGAATTCTTCAGATAACTGCCCAATGGCCCTTCTTTGATATTTCAGAAAGTGCAAATATTCTAACATAATGACATAAATCAAGGGGGACCGGGTGATTTATGTTTGGGTAAATCGCCTTGTGCAAATTTTAGAACGCCCAGTTCTGACTGTTCCAAACACGGACACAGAGTGGCCACCAGGTGGCGATAGATTACAGTTTCTGAGAAGACACAACGGACTGCGCCAGGAAGCCATTCTTTAAGGAAGCGTGCACCGCTTTCACAAAGCAGGGTCTTCTTAAATGTTGTGAAATGCTCCAGAGGTGACCTAAAACACTAGTGTCGTCTTTTTCTTTGGAGGAACAGAAAGGGATGGTGCACGGTGTCTATTTCTTCCCCCATATAGCTGCGCCCCAAGGTAGACTTAAGACGTGAAACCTTTGGTATTAGCAAGAAACTGTCTCATTGCAAAACCAGAAGCCAAAGAAATAACAAATCTGTTTTGCAATTCTGGCAGGGAGCTTTAAAGATGTATCTGTACTTTCTTGTTCTCTTCTCAACAAAAACTAAGGCAAAAATCAATCTTTTCCCCAAAGAGTGAGCGGGATGCAAGAAAGATTTCTCACACAAGATTCCTTTATTAAAATACAGTATTGAATAGGAGATTAGGAATAGTAATACTTTGTCCATTTCTTTTAGCGTAGAAGCATTCAGTCCCCATTTTCAGGCTTGGATGTCTAGAACTGTGTGAGATGGTTCTGGAAGGTTCTGATTTGATCGGAGAATCTATAATTTAAACTTCTAGTTCAAATCAGGTTCCTTTCCTAAATGTGGGAGAAAACTGGAATCTTCCCAAGAGGGATTCATCACAGAGGCACCAGCCCAACCCCTTATATGCGAAGAAAATTTATTCGAAAGAGTCCACCCGAACGTATGTGAATCATTACCACGGGTTTTCCCAACATAGCCAGAATCATTCTTTCTACTCTCAGTTGATACACCGAGTCCTGTTTTCTTCAAAACATGACTGAGCTGAAGCTGTTTTAGATCTATATAACCTGAAGTCACAGCCCCAAAATATGAGGAGTGAGAATCATTTTCTCACTGGGGTTAGGGACATGTTGTCTTCATAGCCATAGACAAGCATCAGAGTATGGGAGACTTGAAAGTTCTCCTCCCTAAACCAGGGCAATATTCTCGCCTCTCCAGCCCTCCCTTGATGTTGGGTTTGCCTTGTGATTTTCTTGATGATTGGAATGGAGCTGCCCTGCAAACCCATGGGTTTTGGGGGTGATGTGTTGTGCATTATTATGGCGATAGCTGATGAATACATTCTCTCATTCGTAGAAGCTCAAGGAGAACCAAAGCGGGAATTGGGCTGCCCATAATCGCTTACTGTGGTTCTAGTTTGGCCCAATGGTGGTAGTGAAGGGGGATAGGGTAGGGACCCTTAGAGATCTTTCTGCCTCTGTATCTGTTTCAGTCTTTTTTCTTTAGCAACACGACTAACAGAAATAGCTATCCTTATAGAGGTCAGAAATTAATCTCATAGACATTGTGTCATGTGCTTATTGTATGGATTCTTATCACCTGCACAACTCTGATATAGAGGTGAGGGAATTTAAGTCCAGGGAGGTTACAAAGCTGCTGGGACTACACACTGGTTGAAAAGTAGGTAGGAAATTCTTCCATTTGCCCCAGGGCCTTGTGCACTGCTGGTGAGGTCTTCAAGTTCTGTTACATAATAACAATTTCACCTTGGAAAAACCATTTAATCTCCCAAAACTTCTGTAATAATAGGGTTAGAATACCAGAGGAAACAAGACAAAGCTTCATTTATCTGAAACAACTTATTAAGATTCTGAGGCTCTTCCCACTGGAGAGTTAGCTCAAGGTTTATTAAAACAATTTTATTGGCACGTTTGCAGTACATGATGTTTACATTCCTTATGTGGAGGTGGTAGATGTATGCAACACATTTCAATTCCTTTTCCATCCTTTCCCTCCTCTCCACCCTCTCCCTCCATCTCTTGATCCTCTTCCCATTTGAGGAAGGTTAAGTTCTGTTACATAATAACAATTTCACCTTGGAAAAACCATTTAATCTCCCAAAACTTCTGTAATAATAGGGTTAGAATACCAGAGGAAACAAGACAAAGCTTCATTTATCTGAAACAACTTATTAAGATTCTGAGGCTCTTCCCACTGGAGAGTTAGCTCATGGTTTATTAAAAAAATTTTTATTGGCACGTTTGCAGTACATGATGTTTACATTCCTTATGTGGAGGTGGTAGACGTATGCAACACATTTCAATTCCTTTTCCACCCTTTCCCTCCTCTCCACCCTCTCCCTCCATCTCTTGATCCTCTTCCCATTTGAGGAAGGCCTATCCCTCTACTTCCTATTATCTTTTATTTTGCTCTTAATTCGAGTTTCTCAAAGAGAAACCACGCAATATTTAGGCTTGTGTGTTGCATTTATTTTACTTAACAATATAGTCTCAAAGTACATCCATTTTCCTACAAATGACTCAAATGCACACTTTTTTTGTGGCTGAGTAGAAATCCATTGTGTATATGTGCGAGTTTCTTTATCCATTCATCCATCAGACATATAGGGTGCTTCCCATATTTAGCTATTATGAGTTATGCTGCTGTATATACATATTATCGCTGTAATATTATATCTTTATCGCTTTCAAGAAGATACCTAGAGGGGGAATAGCTGGGTTGAATGAGGTTTCTACTTTTAGATTTTTGAAGAGTCTTCATACTGGTTTTGTAGTGGTTGTACTAGTTTATATTCCCACTCATGTTGTAGAAGATCCCACCACTCCACCCCCAGAGACTCACCAGCATTTGTTATTATTTGATTTCTAGATGATAGCCATTCTTTCTAGAATAACATGGAATCACAGTGTTTTTTGTTTTGCTTGCTTTTTTGGTACCAGGGATTGAACGGACCTTGCGCTGGTGAGGCAGGCAGTGTGGCACCACTGAACTAAATCTCCAGCGTGTCCCACTGTTGTTTTAATTTGTAATTATCCTATGGCCAGTGATGACGAGCATTTCTTCATGTATTTATTGGCCATTTGTGCTTCTTCTGTAAAGTGTCTCTACATTTGAATTGCCCATTTTTGGTTGGGTCTTTTATTTTGTGAGGGTCTAATTGTGTTAAATTCTTTGCATATTCTAGATATTAGTCCTTCTGAGGAATAGCTGGCATAAAATTTTTCCTATTTTATAGGTTTCTTTTTCACTCTGTTTATTTTATTTTTTTCTTTTTTCTTGCCATGCAGAAGCTAAAGACCTCTTGAGGTTTCAAGGCAGCTTTTTTTTTTTTTTCTACTGGTGATTGAACTTGGGTCCTTGCACTTGCAAGGCAGGCAGCAGAACTACTGACCTAAATCCCTAGCCCAAGACAGCTTTTTTTGTTTGTTTGTTTGTTTTTTGCTTTTTTTGAGACAGGGTCTCACTATGTAGTTGAGACTGACCTGGAACTCACTATGTAGCCCAGGCTGGTCTCGAACTCACAGCAATCCTCCTGCCTCAGCCTCCTGAGTGCTGGGATTACAGGCAGGCACCACCACACCCAGCCACCCAAGGAAGCTTTGATTAGAGGAAAAGAACATTGAAGTCATAAGACTTGAGGTTAATTTTTTATTTTACTCATCAGCTGTTATTTGACTATTGCAAATTTCTCATCAGCAAAATGGGAACTGATCTGAGCTCCGTGGACCATCTTATTGGTGTCCATAAAGCACTTCTAGCAACTTCAACCATGCCTGATTGATGGTGTTCCATAAATGTTAGGTACTGTTCCTACACCCCCATCAACATTGATTTTGATCTATTTCAATCTTTTACCCTTAAATGCCCACCCAGGCTAAGCATAGCATCTATTTTGTAGCCCCCTTGTTTCAGCAGAGCTGCTGATCATCTGCTG